ACTAGCAGCAATTGCTATATAAACACTAGCTGAAATTTCAAAACTAGGAACCAAAATGGCGGAAATTGATCAGGTGATCAATATTGCCCAATCAACGTAAGCTAAACGGATAACAATAGATGTCCCAACTCTTACTAATAGAGGGCTCTGGGTCAAATTGCCACGCCATTTTCAGGAAAACATGACGAAATGTAGTGTTTGCCAAATTACTAAATTATAAAATACGAATTTATCGAATTTCTCTGGTTAAGGTAAGCCATGCAAAAAATTACTACGTAACTATAATATGTTAGTTATCAAACGATACGTTTATGGCGTAATTCTTTCGTGCATCTCAAACTACGGCAATCGTTATTTATTCTGTAGTTATTTCGTTATGTAATTCACAACCTCGGCAAGTAGTATATCAACGTACTGGTATTCTTTCTTTTCTTTCATTGCTTTTACAACCCATTGCTTCTTTGTTTTAGCAAAAATCATTTTGTAACGGTCTTGCCCTTTGTTTGTCCCCCTGACTTAATGACTGCTTTATCACGGTTAATATTGTTGTTGTGATCTAATGCTGCTAACTGAGTGCGGTCTACCATTCCAGGAAATGAAAAATGGCTCGCTTTGGGCAGTATTTCAGTAAAAGGGAATGGTAAACCTCCAACTTTCCTGTGTGACAAAACTCAGATAGCTTATGCAGGTCTTTTAGAAGCCTCGTGTCACAAATCACCTTCTCTGCAGCAATATATGCTTGTGAAGTAGGAGATAACCACTTCTTCTGCTTGTTTGTCTTTCTGTTGATTGTTGGTAGCAACATTGATGAGAATATGTGTTCCCTCTCCAGAAATGCTTGTTGTTGGTTAAGGTTAGACTTCCATTTTTCCACCAATTCTTCTGCATTCTTGTTACAACTTGCAGAGCACCACAAAGATGATTAGAAATGGACTTAATCCAATGGGTCAAGTCATCATTTCCCTTAATGTTAGACTTCTTTGTTAGTTTTTTTGTGACAGATTTAGACAAATGCCACACATCATATTGGTGATCAATATGAGGGTGTTTGTTTTTCATAGCACTGGCAATTTTTGTCCCAAATGTGACTTAAAAAAGGAAAATTATGTACAAATAATTAGGAAACTATAAGTTCATACTTTACGTCAAGAAAACTACACCTAAATTCTATACACGAAAGGCTAATTTTACAATGGTTTTATGTAGGATTATTTTCTAACCATAATGAATCTGAATTACACAACCATGTTTTATTATTATTCAATGTTATTCATGGCAATAGACTGGTTTCACATCAGTAGAAACTGTTGTTAAGGTTGAATTCGAAAGACAAGCAAACGAAGCGAACGGCATTACAGCACACAGTTTCCATACAAATAAACCTTCATATTTTTTAAAAAATAATATTAATCAATATTTAAATTCTATATGTAGTGCGGAAACTGTGCGATAATGGCCTTTATGGATGTGAAATCGTTCAATTAAAGCAGAATACAAATAACCAGCTCAATACTTGCATGTAAGCTATAAAAGTTGCTTGTGTATATACCTATGAATAAAAAATTCTGAAGTTTCGAAAAGAAATATTTTGTGATTAGGAGAAGCATTTTGACGCAAGTTTATTATGACTGTGCAATGACTTTACATAAAGCTTTGAGGAGCAATTGACGATATGACGTCAATACAAGCCGCTGACATATTTCTGCTCCCACGCACCGGATGCCCTAGCTGCAGCATTTCAACTCATTTTTTGTGAAAATATTGAATCAAACAAACAAAAAAATTGCCGCATATTTATTTTAAAACCAACATTATGTGAGGGTGGAGTTCCCCTTTAAACAGTACTCTTAGAACTATGGAACCAACATTGAACTAGAAATTGTAGAACTTTAGAACATACAGCTCAAGAACTGTAAAACCGTAGGACATTAGAGCTATAGAATTATAGACAGTATATATTATGTTTCTTGTAATCTAGTCTCGGGATATGCAAATCATCGGTTTTAAATTTAATTATCTTTAAAAATACATAAATGTTATGTTGTAAAAATTCAATGTTTTTCACAATTGTTTTTATTCCAGTAAATCCTGAAGGAACAGAAATCTCATTTTTCTATACTATCCAAAGTAGAACAAAAGTAGTTGGTGTCTTAAAACAGGCAGAGTTTATTTTCAATCTATTGTATTCAATTGTTTGAATTATATTTCAACTTGGGTTGAAATGACAAATAATTGTTAGATCCTGAGTATTTGTGCAAAATTAATTTGCCCGATGATTTTATTCTTGTTCTGTGCATGGAAAATTATGCAAGCCTAAACCTACCAATACAACAACAAAAAGGGTGAATATCAAAGCAGTAATACATTAATTGAGTTGTCCTTCTAAAGCAGATCTTTTCACTTTAGAGGCTTTTGGACACAAGTCAATCAGCTTGGAGTTTCTATTGATTGCTACCATTTCTAGTTAGTCTGGTTGACTTTGTTATTTTGAATACTTTGCATGTTGAGAAAATGTGTGCTTGATGAACATGAATGTGCGTCATACATGTTACCTGATTTTACTGCTGTCTTTGATGTGTATTGACTCTATCTTTGAGAATATTATGCCTGCTTTCAACTTCAGACTGCTAAGGATGAGCATGTTCTCAGAATATTCAATGCCACCTATGGCAAATCACCTTAGTTACATGTCCATGGTTATTACATATGTCCCCTGACTAATAAGTTTGGCAAAAAGGCTATCTTTAATTTCAACTTGTTGAAACAAAGATACTCATCTTTATGCTGTTGCATTAGTTCAATTTCAGCTTACATCACTTTCTGTGAATGGAAATTAATGTGGGTTGTACTTGTGCACGAGTAGTCACCACATGAATTAGTTTTGGGGTCTTAAATTATTGGCCATTTTAACAAGTCAAAATATCGCAAACCAGTACTATTTCAGTATATGGTAGGCTGAAGATCAAGTCTGTTTTAGTGTAATTGCTTGTTTTAGTGTAATTGCTTGTATACGCTTGTTCAGTTTTTATTACATAGCTACATTCTTATTCATTGTAGTATGAATAAAGTATAAAATTATTAATTTTAAGTGCCCATATCACGGTCTGGAAAATGACTTCATTCGATGATTATATCAATTTTATGAACATGTGATGATTCGGAAATTTTATCTTCGTGGTTTTTTTGGCCTAGAAGGTGACTCTTCTACGGAAGTGACGTAAAAAGGAGAAAACGCATTCTACTTTTTTCTTTGATTAATCTCTCAAACGATGTAGTCAAACTATACAATAATGCGGCAACTTAAATTTGCAGTGCTTTTTTTTGAGAAGATTTGCTATAACTGAATGCGCGTATTCTCCTTTTTACGTCACATCAGGTGAGGAGTCAACTACTTCTAGCCTTAAAAAGCTCATGAAAATAAAATCTTCGTCCCATGAAATTTGTTGTAAATGTTGTAAATTCGATTTAATTATTTGAGAAAGTTATTTCCCTGACCCTGACATCGGCATTTTAAGTATGAACTATTGAATGGTAACTGTACAGTGCAAGGGCAAAAGCATATATTCAACATTGTCCAACTAACTTCTTTTGAAATTACAAAAAACTAACATTGCGCGCAGAGCTAAATGTATAAATATTCATCCACCCACCCTCCACACCCCAAATTGTGCTTTGGAACTGTGCGTAAGTAATAAAATTAAAAGTTTCAAAACTTTTGCTTAAGTTTTCTTGACAAGTGCCTAATCTTGAGGATAAAGTCGAATTTTCGCAAACATGTTAGTGAATTGGAAAAAAGACATGCAGCTGTATACTTTAACAAAGAGAAATGAGGCTTACTCAGATATATTTTTTTTGGAGTACGTTTTGCTGTTTTGATTTGTTATCGCAACTGCCAACTTCTCAAACGTTAATGCACGTGTTTAAGTTCTTGCATAGACCATTGCTGCTGTTTTCATTTCGTATGGTTAGTTTTAATGCTGCGCATTCGAAAGAAGACTCAAAAGACAAAATGTCTCGTTTTCGAAATGAAAGCTACATTATGATGCCAGCACTTATATTTAATTATATTTAAAATATCTATTGTCAAGTAGCTATTTAAACTCCTTAATTAAAACTTAAGTATCGCACAAAACTTTCTCTTTATTTTTTGAAACAATACCCAGAAAAGTTAAGTTTGACTGTAATACTGATTGGTTTTTCTAGAAATTGCGGATGTGTTAAAATATACATTCAGAGTTTGAACAGTTTAGTTAGGGTTGGGGGAGGGGGTTGAAATCTAATAATTGGGGTGTGGCATCATCCTGGACACCCCCACCTCCCGAGAGAATCTGTCCAAGGTTTGAAAAATTGTAAATTGACTTGCCTTCGGTTCGTGTTTTGTGTGCTTTTCTCAACTCTTGCTTTTTACTTCGTGTTTGGATCACACCATTCACCCAAGTATGGAAACCATTAAGTGATTGCTTAATAAAGTAATAACCAGAGGTAGAGTTTTAAGTTAGTTAAGTCTACAACGTAGAATTAACGAGGTTCGAAACTTCAAAGGTTTAGCAAAAGTTTTTAAAATACAAATTACACCGTCACATGAATTTTTCGTGGAATATTCGTTGTTTCCGTTTCTTGTTTCAATGATTCGGGCTTTTTCCATACTTGTCTTTTCCATTCCTCATTTTTGGTCGGCGTTTATATCATATAGCGTTAACATGATTTGACGTCATGTTATTAAAATTGAGTTTTGATCATGGTATTTCTTGTCTCAACGCTACTCTGTAGTCTTGTATATCTGAGACCCCATCTACATAATTTGATTGACTTTTGGCAATATCGGTTTATTTAATCATCTGGAATAAAAGTAAAATGTGTACACGAATAAACACGAGAGGAAAACAAAGTCCACTTAGAGTCGCTAGAGTATACAAGACTAATGAACTTCGTCGTACGTATGAAGTTTTAACTTTCAACTTACTTTTGCCAAAAATTTTTTCTTTATTTTTAGTTTAAAAATGGCTTCACACTCTGACGTTTTAAAAATGGAGGCCAATGGATCTCGTTTGAGCAAGCTTATAATAAATAAAGGAACACAGGCCTTGAGAGAAACATTGCAATCTCTTATAAAACCATTAAATTTAGCTGCTAAACTTCATGATCCTTCTACAATGAAGATATTGATATCACTAAAACGCAAAGTCATCTCTGAAGAGAATTGGGATCGTCTTTACCCAGCAGTTGGTTCTCCGGACGTTGAAAATTTTTCTATCCCATTATTGGTTATCTTATTACGAAACATATGTGGTCTGAATCCACCAGCTACTGGATGGTATGGTCTTCCTCCCCATTCGGATTCTTCAATCTCGTCAAATATTGCAAGAATAAGGTTTTTCAGAAACAAAGTGATTGGTCACATAGCTACAACTAGTCTTAATGACAGCAAGTTTGAATATTTGTGGAAAGAAATATCAAAAGCATTGGTTGGTCTGGGTATTCAACAAGCTGAAATCGATGAATTAAAGTATGGTCCACTCAGTCCTCATGAGGCCTATTACAGAGAAATGTTGAAAGACTTGCAAACAACACCTGAAATGGATGTGCCAGGTAAAGTTTTTTCTTATATTGATATGCCTAATGATTTCTTGCATGTAAAAATTTTAGAATTTGACAAACCTTTCAGGAAAACGTAAATTTCACCTTTTTGCGTCAAAGTAGCTAAAACAAAACATTCGCATTTTTTTAGCAAACCAATGACATTCTGTTTAAAGCCAGGTTGTATTTTGAGACTGAGCAACAAATGTTCCCACTGTTGCGCATGAACTAACCATGTTAGTTGACATGTTTATAACCCCGTCCAGTTCCATAGTTTAGCTATATTTTTGGTGCTTGTTCATATACTTTGTTTTTTTATGGAAGCTGGGGAAACTCACGGTAGCTTGTATTCGAACTTTTCATTTTTGTTTTTAAATTTTTTACTTTAGTGTTGTTTCAGACAATAATGATTATTAGTAACTACATAGCAATATGAGAATGTTAACTTTTTATGAACAGGTTAGGAGTTCATCTCATTCTTCACTAGTTATAATAAAAATATATTTGGTTAAATTTTTCACACATCTAAATGCCAGTTGCGTGCAGTATATCGTAAAGCAGGATAGTTAGCTAGTTGGGGTAGAATTGGATGGTTAGCAGTTTATTTTTTCACTTCGTCTAACATCATGGCTGTAATGTCTAGGATTTATCATGCGTATTTTAACGCATGGAAAATAGTTATCTGTATTATAAATATGATGTTCCTTTGGCTCGTCAGAAGCTATGTTATTAGAGAGGGCTCAGACTCAAGTTAAGGGCGTCATGTGATCTAGAGGTAACTTAGGGCTTGTTCATATGAGCCGGGCTGGCCCGCAGTAGCGAAATCTCGCCTCTTTTTGTATTACATATAATTTCAAATTTGATTTATATGAGAGGCGGGCTGGCCCATCTTGCAGGGATCTCGCTTGAGCGAGGCGAGACCTCGGCATAAACGGGCTCATGTGAATCGCACAATCTGTATTTTATTCTTTTTGTCCGCAATTCGCATTTTATTCTTTTTGTCGGTAGTCTGTATTTTTTTGCGCGTCCGTCCGTCTATTCGCATCTGCATTTTATCCCAACCCCCCAAATGATATTTAATTTGCATGTTTACTGATTTTATACTGAATGTATAAAACAAACTTTTTTCTTGCAAACGTGATTCGGCAAATTTATGCCGTCGTCAGTGCAAACAAATGAGCTAAGTTACATGTAGACCTGGAGGAGAAGGGGTAAAGATAACCCAACAGGGAAATTTATGAGACCAACTTATTTTAGTCTATTTGAAGGCTCTGATTTCAAAAGTCCATGTTATACGGGCGTCCACGGGGGCGTTTGCCTACAATTTTAAAGTAAAACTTCTGCAAACCATGATTCAAAATAGAGTTCACTGGTGTAAACATAATTTAATGTAGTGATTTTAGCATTTTAAGACTGTTTTGGAGTTTTTTGAAGCTTTGAGCGTTAGAAATTTCACGAAATTGATATACGTAGCAAATCTTAACTTTAGGAAATAAAAAAGAATTTAGGTTAGACTTGATTATTCTTACAATTAAGAATTTTAAATCAAGTAGAGCTTTCTGATAACGTTGTTCTAAGCTTTGATAGCGTATGCATAGTTTGTGTTAATAGAGTCGGTGTTTCGGAGTTTGGACTAAAAACCATGACCAGCCGACAATTTAAAGAAATATAATGTAAAGCAAATTCTGAAAAATTTGTCATTCTGTGTGAGGATGACTTTGAAAAAAGGCGAAAATTTACAGTTCACTTCTCGTCTTGTTTTGATATATAAAAACAACATAAACATGTTTTAAAGTAAATAGGAAAACAAGTTGACGATCAGTATGAATTCTTGTTCATATATTATTCATAACGATTTTTTGCCACCTGATAAATTGATCAAACTGAGTGAAATGTCATTTCGAAGTTTAACTGAATGCAAGAAAATACGCCAGTCACTTGGAGGAGAAAATCATCACAAAAATCAGTGCAAAGTTATTCCAGCACTTTTAAATGAAGAACCTTTGCACTTTCATAGAGAGTTTTATCAAAAATTTACTTATGGCCCAACTTTTCAAAAAAGATGTAAACCTCGTGTAAACCTCGTGTAAACCTCGTGTAAACCTCGTGTAAGCTATTCAACATATGCAAAATGACGAATGTGTAAGTGGGATGACAAAACACAACATACCGATGCATAGGTGAAGGTAAAGTAGAATATGTTAGTAGAGGGCAGAGGGAGGTGTCAGTAAGTGATGTGCACAGAGAAAAACCATGGAGATGCGCTGTGAATGGACTAGTGAAAGCTTTATGTTTTATGTGTTGTTTCCTATTTTCTCGAGATGATTTATGGCAAAGCAACAGAAAGAGAAACATGTAATCATTTACTGTTGAAATTTACGCTTGTGTGCGAGGAAGTCATAAGTCCTGCATTTTTATAAAATATAGATATGGCTATATGACGATAGGCTTATGAATAATCGGACTAAAAAAATGCATGATTTGAGAAATAAAGTATTTGTATTTATTGCTTGTTATAGAAGCAATGTTTCAACACTAGAAAGAAATTTCGTTTCATATTATTTACATTTTACATATAGTTTTCAAGTTTGAAAATGACGTGAGTAATGAGCAAACATCACACAGATGTCAGACAATAATGTCAATGATGAAATATCGAATTTTAAACTGTTTTTGTATGAAATGTATGAAATGGCATAAGTTTGAAACTTTTACCATAGTTTCTGAGTAGCAGCAAGTTTAAAAAACATTAAAAAAAACGATGATTTTTTGTAAGCAAACATGTTTCTGCATGAAGAAAATGCTATCTTCCTACGAAATGATTAATGCTACGAAATATGATAAAGTATAGGAAGATACCATATGAATAAATTAAAGTAAATGGTTTGAACCCGGGAGTATCGTTACATGTTTGTGAATGATGATCGTCCAGGTCAATAAAGTCCTGAGAAGGACTGTCAACAACAACAAAAACAGTCCTTCTCAGGACTTTATTAACCTGGACGATCATCATTTACAAACATACGAATAAATTGTTTACACTGAATGGGAATGTGATATAATTAAAAGGCGTTTTATTGGTTTTATCTTAAAAGTCGATAGCTTCCATTGTATCTAGCGATCTGTTTTATATCCTCTAGTTTTGAATCTAAGTCCTTTCGAGCAACTTTATTCTTAATTCAGACGACTGACATTTAACAATTACTTGGTCGCCATTATGCTCCGAAAATTGATCTACAAAACTATATTTTTCTGTGTGTCGTCTCAGCTTGATCACAAATTGATCGATGTGTAGTATTATTTACATATAGACAAATCTAAAAATCCTATCTGTTATTTATTTTTACAGATAAACTGCACTGCAATCGACTAATCACAATCGAGAAATATCTCAAAGTGTATTTTTGCAATCTATATTACATGGTTTTTATGGGTTTGATTGGAATCCAAAACTTTCGCCACTTATATTTTCGTACGTCACGTGGTACAAACTGTAATTATTGCGTACATTGTCACAGCGCTTTCATATTTTCTTATATAGCGTTGACTGTTTTTGCTTTAAAAATTTCAAGTATTCTTTTAGCAATTTTATGGTACAAATATCTTTTTTAATTTTGTTATAAATGGCAGTGGTTCTGTTAGTTGTATGGCTGCTAGCTTCTATAGTGAATCATAATCGACTTTAGAAAATGTGAATACTGAGTAGTGTGGATGGAAACGATCGTTAGAACGTTTTGTGCTTGGTGTATTTCTAACAACAATTCTCGCCATACAAAATTTATGAAAAATAATGAAACTGGTAATAAAATATATTTTTTAAAGTTGTGCACCATAAAAGTGAAATTTTGCACCATATTTAACTTTATGTCTGATTTAAATTAGCTAAGCCGTCACATAGTTAACCCAATTCTTTTGATGTGAGCTCAAGATCATTAACCAGAAGCAACTTTAATCATTTACCTATTGTCTGTTAAAAAGATAGTTGTGTGACGAAACTGCCCTAAGAACACATGAATACTCGAAAATTTCTGAAGTGAAAACAGTCATTGCCGTACAAAAATATGTGATAGGGCTGTGAACAGTATAGGGAATATACAGTAGGTCCATATCGTCTACAAGTACCTGCTGTATTTTTAATTAGATTATTGGCTTCTGTTAGCCATTTTATCATTCCTATTGGTCAAAAAAAACAATTGAGTGGCTGCCAGTATGGTAATCACAAGCATAATAAGATATGCGTTGCACGAAAAAAGTCAATGGAGTGGCTCTACTGTATATTCACTACACTGTGTCTGTGACTATGTACGCAATGTTCAGAGTTTCTAGGTAGCACGTGATATGGGAAATGTTACTCAATTTTCTAAGCAGAACTTCCTTGCAGCAAGATTGTCTTACATGTTGTTGAGCAAGTTTCAAGAATAAGAGGTAGGCATAGAGTAGAGTATGGCTGTGTTTACATGAGACCAGAACGAAGTCAAAGCGGGGTACCAGCTTGTGTCGGTCATAATATTATTGACAGTACATGTTTCCATCGGACCGTTGCGAAAATGACTCAGAGCGAACTGAAGTTATACCGCCTGCTGAACCGGTCCGACTGAGTTCAGAACGGTATGAATGGAAACCATCATCAATGTAAACTCAAATTACTGTTCACACCGGTCTAAAATGGCATCAACGCACGCGCACAAAAGCAAATTACAAAACAAAATGGCTAGCAAGCGTAAAGTTAGCCTGCACAGGAGGCATTTCGCGAATAAGGATTTTTCGCGATTTCGTGCCGGGCCCATGTAAACATGTAACAAATTCTGATTTTCATTCCGGTTTGACATCGTTCCGGTCTCATGTAAACAGGGCCTACGTAGATAGGGTGAAGGCAATTATCAGTTATATACATAGTAAAAAGCGTCGATATATACCAAACAATAGGAGGTGTATGAATACACTGAAGGAAGACAAGGGGAACCTCTACTTGTTTATCATCATGAATGACGAAGTCTTAGCTTTAGTTAGGAAAGTGCTCATTTTTAGCAATTTTCTTACAAACACTGTCTATTCATACGGTTTAGGTTATTGTACATTAACCATAAGCCAAACGTTTCCATGCAACGGAGAAGAGGAATCATGCTCTAGAATGTAGAGGAATGAGTAATAGTTCAGTTACACGAAGTAGAAGTTCAGATTGATGTAGAGTGGATGCGGAGGGGGTGGAGAAAAGAGTCCTTTGTGTTAAATGACAAAATAATTTCAACTAGTATGAAAAGGTCTACAAGACAGTACAAATCCAGCATTGTTGTATGGTTTTGAGATAGTGGCAATGGCAATAAGACACATGGCAGAGCATGGAGGTTGATCAAGTAAAAACTCTTTAATCGGTCATTTCATTAAAAGTTCAGTAGCAAAGATTAGAGACTTTATCTAAAAGGCAAAAGAGTGAAAAAATTGTTTGTTGAAACAAAGCCGTTTTGTTATATCTTCCACTTTTAAACATAAACTTAAGCATAAGAAATAGCTACATGCTTCAAAAACTTTAATTTTTCTACACTAAAAATCAATTTGTAAGCATTGCGTTGTTTAAACGAAAGTGCTATATTAAATTAAAAACACCATTTATCTGTATCGCTTGCCTTTAATCTTAACACATATATGTTTACATGATTGATTAATTTTTGACAACTTTAATGATTGGTGCTAAGATTTTACAAAAATTTAAAGTCGTTATCCAAATTTTAGTCGTATTTGAGTAAATTTGAGCTACTTATTCTTATGAATTGGATTAGTTTTGTTGCACTCACCTCTGATTGTAATACTTTTATGTCATTTGAAGAATGGCAGTTACAAGAGTTGGAATATGTTGGTCATTCAGTTCAGCATAAAGAACTGTTGTCAGAATTGTGTTATCCCGGAGCAGACATTAAACATGTGGGCAATGTACGTTTCTCGGAGAAGTTTAGTCTCGGCGAAGGAAGTAATGAAACCCGTGTTTATCTTGGACTGACAAAGGATGGTTACGGTAAAGCAGTGAAACGAATGCGTAGAGATAACTACCTCCAGCCTGCACAGCATGAAAAGAAAATTTTAAATGAATTCAATGCAAAAAAGTCAAAATATGTTGTGAATTATTACTTCTTTGAGGGAGATACTGGAACAGAATATGTTTATTTGATCTTAGACTTATGTGAGGAATCACTGGAGAAGTTTGTGAAATCTTCTTCTTTAAATGATCTTCAAAAAGCTCTTCTTAATATTCTTAGACAAATTTTGAATGGATTAGCTGATCTTCATAGTGGCCCAGATCCTATTCTTCATCGGGATTTGAAGCCTTCCAATGTTCTCCGTGACGTAGACGGCAGATTTCTGATAGCTGACTTTGGCATTAGTCGAATGTTGAAGAATGGATCTAAAACATACAAAAGCAAGTTTAATAGGGGCACTGAATATTGGATTCCTCCTGAATCATATTGTGAAGACGATTCAAATGAAGCACGTTATGAAGAATTAAATGAAGGACGTTACAAAAAAGAGTCTGATGTATATGTAAGTGTAAAAATGTTAACATTTACAAAACTCACAGCGAAATTTTATTTTGTGAGATTCTAATTTTGCTGTTACAGTTACATTTTTATTATTTTAGAATGCTGGACTGGTGGCTTATTATGTTGCAACAAAAGGGAAACATCCTTTTGGAACTAAACGGTATAGATTGGATAACATGTTGAATGGAGACCCTGTTGGCTTGAAGGAACTTAAGGATGAAAGCTTAAAAGACCTTCTGTCTTGGATGTTAAATCTGCAACCCGAAGACAGACCATCTGCTAACATGGCGTTAAAACACCCATTTCTTTTGTCAGATGACGAGAAATTTGACTTGTTATGTATTGTTGGTAACCAATTGCCTACTACGACAAATGATACCCAGTCAAGTGTCACTCAACAATTGAATAGCGAAACTTCAAAGTGGAAAAGTAAAATAGATCGTGAAGTATATGACTTTTTAAGAACGGATGAGGTGCGTGGAGAAATACATAGGTATAGTTCTTCATGGACAGAATGCTTAAGACTTATTCGAAATACTGATCAACATTGGGGTAAAATATCAAAGCGAAGTTCTCTACCAGAACTATTTTATAAGTATGGAAATCACAAGAAATACTTTCTCAAAACATTCCCCAATCTCCCTGTTCGTGTCCATGTTGCTGTCAGGTCAAACGACGAATTGAAAAAACATGAAGAAATACAAAAGATTTTAAAATACAGTTTTTAAACTGCAAAAACATTTTTTAGAAAAGACAAATGGCCAGTACAAAATCAAAGATACAGTTTCTAAAGATCTTCTTTTGCATGAATGCAAAACAATTTTTTTGATAATGCATAAAAACGTTCTTGGTAAATTTAATGTATTCAGCGTAATTATTGATAGTTTATTAATTTTTAATTCTTAAATATACTTTAGGGTAAGATTAAAGATATTTACTTTTGAATTTTGCATGTTTAAGATATAGAGATGTAATGTACCTTCACCCAATATAATAACTATCATAGCAACGAAGATAATAATCACAACTTATTACATCATTTTGTAGCACATTAATTATGGTATTGTAATAACTAAACTTATTCAGTTGAATATAACTGATACGTTACCTTTTTCTGTAATTTTGAAGCTGCTCTCTCGGATTGAAAGTTATCTACGATAAGCTCGTTTCAACTTATTAACATATGCACATCTTTTTTATTTAGACTGTTTTTAATTGCGTCTGTCACTTTCTTAATGGAAATAATTTTGGGCGTAAGAACACTGCCTAATCATTTTAATAGAGAAAATATCAACAGGGCTTCAACCTGAAATAACTTATGTGAAAATTGAATGCTGTAATTTTTAAAAAATTAAAAAATTTAATCAGCCAAATGCAGTTAAGTGTCTTTTTGAAAATAATGGCGTATGCACCACTTCAAGGCATCCAGCATGGAGACAGAAAAATTTTTAAAACAAATTGAAAAGTTCACGAATTTTTTTCGGGATTTTCGTTATCTTTTTTAAAAGCTAAGTATGGATTCATGTAGAAAAATGATCCTATTTTTTAGTGATAATTATTATTTTGAATTCATGTTTGTTTTTTTAGTATTATTACTTTATATGAAGGTATGTGCTCGTAACTGCGAAGATAATTGGCTACCTTTGGTAAATGTATAGTATATACATAACTAATACAAAATTTCGGCGCACGGTCTGTTACGATGGAATGGGCCGAGTTATCGTTTGTTTATACAATTTAGTAATTTATTGGGCTGCCTACGTTCGTATCGAAGACGGCTGAAACAAACTCAATTTTTGTCACTCATATTTGCATCTTAAAATATTATTTAGGCATATATATATTTTTCTAAAGTAAGAACTGTGAATGTTCGAAATATTGGTCATAATTGATATCATCGACCACGGCCAAGACCACAGCCATTTAATAAAATTGACGATCACAAGAAATAGGTGGTTGCACGTTACGTCATGACCACCATGTTGGTGGTCAAATACAAAAGAATATTTTATCAATGCTATTGTTGGCTTCAGCCGACGTGGGTGAGCCACATTGTTTCATGATTCCTTGGAAACCAAGAATACTTTCTAATAAACTCCTTCAAGAAGAAATAAACGGGAAGCACGCTCGTATACGTGTCTTCTCTGCACAACTAACACAAGCACACTCTATCCTGGCGTTACTAATCTCCAAAATCGTTTTTATACACCTTAAGAACGTCTCCGATCGTGAAAACTGAAGAAAACTAACGCAACATCAACTTATCTAAGATGGCAAACTTTTCCGTCTCACATGCAAACATGACTGCATTTTCAACTTTTGCTAACCATGAAAAGCATGACTGCATGACGAGCTTTAGTTATATGAAAAGCAGGACGCCCGCCAGTGCTCGGCAATAAAGCGGTTACATCTCTGCGTCTGTCACGTGATGAAAGTGATTGCAGTTGAACATGTATATTACTAACATGTCTTTCGATTTCATTCATCAGTTCCTCGAGTAACAAGCCAAAGGAAGGTCTTTCATCTAATCTTCTCATTCCATTTCCATTAAGTTGCTCGTTATTGCCTCTAGAAATCGCTCTGCTGTTGACTGCGAAAAATATTGCTGACACAATGGGTTAACTCTTTCCCAACTTTTCTTTGCTATGCTCTAAATCTAGAGGATCGCTAACCAAAAGAAATAACTGACAACGAGAAAGCAAGCTGTTAAGACTTTGAAAAAAGCTTCTAAGCTCTTCACAAGAGTTGTTTCTTGTGTTCGTGGTCACCATATTTATTGTGAGAAAACCTTGTTGTTCATTTCTTCGTAATTTAATTACTAGTCTTATCTTTTTTGTCATACATCTTTCTCGTCTTAACTTTCTCGTTTTAACTTTCTCGTCATATATTCTTCTCGTCATATACCATATGTAGTATAGTTATTATGTAAATTATTTGTATTTCGTACGTCATATTACGTATATTATAATTAAGTAAAGATCTGTATAAAAGTAATATGACAAAGCAATAAAAGAGAGAAATCTCACAATATTACATCTGGCGACAAAGATGGGATTCTAACCCACGCGTGCACGACACTTGACTCCGACGATTGGTGAAATTATAAGTGATCTAAATGGTGCTGTATGGTTTAGCAAATTGGACTGAAATCAAGGCTATGACCAGTTAGAGCTCGATGCAGAATCAAGATATTTGACAACCTTCTCAACACACATTGGTCTACGGAGATTTCGACGTTTGAATTTTGGAATAAACTGTGCTGCAGAGATATTCCAAAATGCCATCAGAGAAACGTTGAATGGACGGAGAGGAGTGATTAATATCAGTGATGACATTGTGGTGTTTGGCGTAGACGAGAAAGATCACGATGCAAATTTGAACGCTGTATTACAACGAATTAAAGATCGAGGACTAACTCTTAAGAAGGAAAAATGTCTGTTTAAGAAAAGAAGTTTAATATTCTAAGGGTATGTGTTCTCAGAGAATGGTATTGTACCGGATCCCAATGAAGTGAGAGCAATTAAGGAATGCATAAATCCTAAAGATGTAGGAGAAGTACGAAGTTTGTTAGGTATGACCGATTTTTGCTGTCGATTTATTCCACATTATGCCACAATTACGGAGCCGTTACGTTGACTTATCTAGAAAGACGCCCCATTCGTGTGGACAAGAGAACAAGAAGACACAATGAAAGGCCTACGGAAAGCATTAACAGATGGGCCAGAAAGTGCGTATTTCGTTCTGGATAGTGATACGGAGGTTTTCACAGATGCTAGTCCAGTTGGTATTGCAGCAGTCTTGGCACAGAGGAAAAAGGGAGAAGAAAAAAGGAAAATAATTGCTTACGCTAGTAAATCACTAACTACCACAGAGAAAAATTATTCTCACTTGGAAAGAGAAGCTTTAGATATAGTATGGGCCTGCGAACACTTTCATTTATATTTGTTTGGAGGAAAATTCACCATCGTCACTGATCACAAGCCGCTGGTGAAAATATACACAAATCCATCATCAAAGCCATCTGCAACATTAGAACGATGGGCCTTGCGATTGCAACCATATGATTTTGAAATCTGTTTTCAACCTGGAACTGAAATCCTGCAGATTTTCTCTCACGTCATCCCTTATCTAATGAGAAACTTAACAACCGGCAAGAGAAAGTAGCAGAAGAATTTGTTAATTACGTTACACAGAACTCGGTTCCAAGAACAATCAGCAGGAAAGATCTGGAAGAAGCTACAAGAGAAGACATTACTCTTCGAGCAGTAATTCAAGCCATTGAAACAGGCAGATGGTTTGAAAGTTCAAAGATGGTAGGAGTAAATCAAGCAGAATTTAGTTCATATGAGAAATTTAAAGATGAACTTTGCATATCTTCGGGTATAATTCTACGAAAACATCAAATAGTCATACCAGAAAAATTACGAGAGAAAGTAGTGAACATTGCTCATGAAGGTCATATGGGAATGTCAAAAACGAATGCGTTATTACGTGAAAAGGTATGGTTTCCACGTATAGATGAGTTAGTTAATGGAAAAGTTAAATCGTGTTTAGCCTGTCAGATTACAACTCAAGTCTGTGAAAAGGAACCATTGAAAATGTCAGAGTTGCCAAAATCTCCTTGGAAAGAGCTAAGTATGGACTTTGGTGTAGCTCCTACAGGCACTGGTGAATATTTGTTTGTTTTGTATGATGATTTTTCCAGATATCCCATTGTAGAAGTAATCCGATCAACGTCCGCAAAGACTGTTATACCCTGTTTGGATAATATTCTTTCCGAGTTCGGGATACCAGATACGATACGCATAGACAATGGACCGCCATTCAATAGCAAGGAATTTTACGAGTTTTCCAAGTATTTGGATTTAAACACAGAAATGTTACTCCTTATTGGCCACGAGCCAACGGGGAAGTGGAAAGATTTATGCGTACTTATCATAATAGGAATGCATTTTTTCTGGAAGGATTATGTTAATGAACACCCGATTCTTCAGTGTTTCGGAGAAGTTTCGTGAAATGAGTTGAAGAAAAATGACTATTTGCTCTGGGTAAATCAGTCATTGCAACACGCAGATTTCGTTTTGATGCACAGACACAAAACATTAGCTGTGTTGGATCGAACTTACCTCAAAAAGATTTTATTTGCCTCACAGACTCATTCACGGGAGAGTTGTCTGCTCAATCCTAAGCAGGTATCTATCCTTGTTTGATGTGAATTTTCCATTTCATCAATTTACTGCAAACTAGACGAAATTTTGCACAAAAAATAAAGCTGTTGCATTATAGTATACAAAACGATTGTGGATAATAATTAAAATATATGATGTAACGACAATACATTTTCCTAAAGTCAGCAGGACACATTGTTTGTTGAAGTGAATAATAATGAATATTTTCTTAGGAACTGATCAAAAAACAGAACGTGCAGAAATTTCAACAAAACGACAACAGTGTCATATTAAGATTAATAAAACGACCATGAGTTTAAAAACCAAACCGAATGACAGATGATCAATATAAATGTATAACCTTTCGAATGTGAAGATCGCTGTATACATTTACACTGGATGGTCTCCTTTGTGCAAATATCCGACGTATTCAAAAACACTTCAGTCATTAAGGAATGATTGTTGCAATGATAAAAGTTGATTTGCCATCCATATACTGTAACCAAAAATGAGAGGACAAGAGTCAATCGCTATAGAAGCCAAAACAAGCAATGTCTGTCTAGAAAAAGGTATAAACCTGTAGAATTAACAAAAAAAAAGGACGTGTGATGGAAAAAGTAAAGTTGGAAAAAGCTGTGGTAAGTATCTTTTTAATAAACCGTGTGATTTCGACTGGTTAGTGTGTTTCTATAGGATTAGCCAATGCTGCTTTCGCTTAAACAGTTCTACAAGATTTCATAACCAATTAAATTGTTCTGTAGACAAAGGTGTGACAAATGTGTCGTAATCGGGAAGACAATTAAAATAAATAAGAAAAAATAGGCTGGCTCTAAAGAGTTATTCAAAAAACATTTAATACGCAGTTAACCATATAACCAGGTGAAATTATTAACACGTTTTTCAGCTACAATAAGTTTAAGAAGAACCAGCTGTAACATTAATAATAGGTCTAGTGAGTGCTTACAACAAATGAAACCACAAAACATTTACAAATCTACAATTAAAATATTATACAATTATTCACATTGCTCAAAAATAAAAGTTTCTTCGGATTTCACAAATAATTATCTTACAAACAACTCCATCCCAACAAAAACGAATTTATCACTTACATCTCGAGCGAACCACTAACCGAACAGCAAACTAAAGTTCTAAACAAAGGATTAAATTACAACTTGAAAGGCGCGAACAAACCTGACTACGTTGCCGACCTTGAATCAGCTTTAAAGTACACCAACTTAACAGACCAGACGAAAGAAGATATTCATCACAAAATCACCAATAACCTTTGCCACAAACCACCATTTACCCTAAACAACGAAGAACTAGGAGTAATTAAAAACCTACAAAACGTCGGCCGAATAATCATATTACGAGCTGACAAAGGACGCAAAACAGTCATCATGGACAGATCAGAATACATCGACAAAGCCAAAACCTCCTACAAGACACCACCACCTACAAACCTCTCCACCATCACCATCACACCATCACCTCACACCATCAGAAATGACACCACTTTCCTTGCCAGTATTGAAAACATTATACTACGACCAGACAAAATCGTGATATCCTACGACGTGACATCACTCTTCACATCTATACCACAAGATATAGCCAAAAGAATTATAAACGAAATGCTCACAAACGACAAAACTTGGCAAGATACAACACAACTAGACAAAAATGACATCCTAGACTTACTCAACCTTTGCCTCTCCACTGAATTCGCCTTTCAAATCACATACTACAGAAAAATGTCAGGCACACCAATGGGGTCACCACTATCTACTTTCCTTGCAGAAGCCATCATGCAACACCTCGAAACACAATTAGTCACAAACAACACAGACATCAAACTATGAAAAGATATGTCGACGACATCTTTGCCATAGTCAAGAAAGACATAACTGAACAAATCCTACACACCATAAACAATGCCACAAAGTGCATAACCTTCACTAAAGACGAAGAACACGACAAACAACTTACTTTCTTCGACATCCTACTAACCAGAGCAGATGACAGTACACTAAACACACGAGTATACCGCAAAACCTCCCACACTGACCAAATAACCGATTTCCACAGCAATCACACAACAAAACTCAAAATAAGCTGCATTCGAACACTTTTTAACATGATAAACACTTATTGTAACACCGAAAAAGCCAAGAAAATAGGATGCAACTACTTATACTCCACATTTATCAAAAATAATTACTCTAGAAACTTCATAAACAAAACTATAAAGAAAATACAAAACAAAACACAAACCGACAAAAGCAAGAAGAAACCGGACGAAACAATAAAAATCGTCACGATACCATACGTAAATGGAACATCAGAAATTTACTGCCAGACTTCTTCGACCATCTATTATTAACGTTGCCCACAAACCTACACAGAAACTCTAATCATGTTTCAACAAACATAAAGATAAAACAACAATTCATGATACAACTGACGCGATCTTCATCATACCATGTAAAGACTGCTCAAAGCAATACAAAGGACAAACATGAAAGAAAATCGAAACAAGATTCACAGAACACAAAAACGCCATAAAACGACGAGATCCCAACTCACTACCGGCAGAACATACACACGGAAACAACCACACTTCGACAGGACAAAAACTAAAGTACTCGGACGTGCACAGACAAATGAAGCACGGGAATTTAAAGAAGCTTGGTGCAGTAAAGACAACGACACAATAAACAGACATATCGACATGCCCATCATTTACTGACAACTAAAGAAAAAGGACAAAAAAACTACAAACAACACCAAAACTACAACATCATTCCCACTCTAATAATATTAACACCAATCATACTCACAATACGCAATAACCCATGGCAACGCATTCCACCCCATTCAATCACATTAATTCACCCGCTATTCCAATTCGACGCTGTAAGCCTCTACAAGCTAAAGGCAAGTGTAAATAGATAAATCCTCTTTCCGATGAAGGCTCGAAGCAACGAGTCAAAAGCTCAATAAAATCATTTGTGAAATCCGGAGAAACTTTTATTTTTGAATAATATAATACCTGGATTGTCAATCTTTAAACATAATTATTCACATGTATATGCTCTTCTCAACTTCTTATATCCAAATAGCACAGTATGCAAAGTCTCGGCGTTGGCAGATCGTAAGCCATCTTGTCTGCGATTGTTATTTTGCACTTTTGGCATTGTACGACAAATAATGGACGACATACTTCTTTCACATGAAAACTGGCTGGATTCATGATCGATTTTAACGATCATGGCTAAACATATTTAAACAATTCGAGCAAGATTTTCACATTTTTGACGCTTCAGTGAATTTAGAGTAAGATAGTTTTTAGTAGATTTTACAGGATTTTTTAACACACCTAATTCATATGGCATTTTCGCGACTACTTGTATATATATGTACATATATTTACATACTTTGTTGGAGTGTTCGAGTACGACATTCACAATCGATGCCAAATTTATCAATTCATACAATATTTGACATACCGCGCTATCTATGTTTGTGACTGCCTGGCATTCGTGGGGGAATATTATGTGGAAGAATGAGAAAAATATTTCATTTTGGAATTTAAGTCTTATAGCATCATTCCATATGATATATTGTCTAGTAAAGTTAAAAGTCTAAAATATGAAATTTTGAATTATCTAGCTTGCAGTGATGTACTGTGCAACCACAGGCATAGGTATGTTTGTTATTTTCAGATAACATCTGTAATTGCCACTTAACGTAATTAAATCACAAATACAAAACAATTTCTAAGTATTCTTACGTCTAAATAAAATCAAAACAATGATAAAACAAGTCACGTCTTGTTATTTTTCTTTCAAAGCGGAAAATTTTGCCAATAAATTCCGGACTTGTCAAAATTAGTCGACGTTGTTTGTAAAAGCTTATAAAAAATGTTTATTAGACTCAGAGGTTAGACATGAAACATGTCCAGTAAATTCTATAGAAGTTAAAAATAAACATCACAAATTCCACAGTCATTAGTGCGAAAAGTTAGTTGGTTGTCGACTTTCGCCAACGCAATTACTGTAGCTAAAGTTAACATAGTTTTTGTTGAAGATTTTGTGGAGAGTTGAAGAGGGCGAGAAATGCAACGTTTTGTTTCTACATTCTTACAGTAAGGTGGATTTAAGCCACAGGATGCTATTTTATTGAGATTTTTTCGTCAATTTTTGGATTGGAGTTATACTTCCTGTTGGTTTTATTGTGACGTATTCACAGGCATCCATAAAAATACTAGATTCGCTCTTTAAATTATATCCATCTGACGATAGATACGATAGACGACCGCCTGTAGAGTTTGGTAGTTTCCATAGTACACAAAATTTAACAAAACATTTCTATCTTTTTATGTTATACCGAGTTTTATATCCATTAATAATAAAGTTTTCTATTTACTTTCACAATCGATAAAAAATGCAAATATTCATAGGAAATTTGACATACTGCGCTGTCTTTGTGACTGCAAGTCGTATGTGTGGGAAAATTATTTGAAAAATGAGAAAAATGTTTCATTCTCGTTTCAAGTCTAAGTAGAACCATTCCACTTAGAAATTTTGTTCCGTGAAGTTAAAAGTTTAAAATATGAAAACTTTAGCATTGCAGTGATGTACTGTAGAGTTCCAGTTATAGAAACGCTTATTATTTTCAGATTACATTTCTGCCACGTAACATAATTAAATTACAAATACAAAGCAAATCTTTCACTTTCTAAATAGCTTGCGCAACGTTAAATTCTGCTTATGAAAATTACCGGTCGAATAATTTATATAATTGTCATGAAGAGTCTCAGCGCAGTTTGGAACAAACTTTCAGAGGAAAGTCACTGAAAAATAAAGGCGATTTTTCAAAAGTTAGTTATTTTTTAAACTAGCAGGGTGTTAAACCTTTTTTAATAAAACAATTTTAGGTGTTAAACCAATTCTGTCGTGCAATTTCTTCGTGTGAATGTCAACAATGGCGGAATCGACTCCTTCAAGTTCTTTGGAAGGCAATGAATAGAATGAAATGAGCGAACAAGCCCAACCAGTTCGTGTTACGTTTGATGATGTGTCAACAGCTCAGTCAAGAATCCGAGGTAGCGTGCCTCAAACTCCTTGCGAGGTAACATAATGTTGCGAATTTTATAAAATAACAAATTTAAACAAAACTTCACTGTCAAAAAAAACTCACTTTAGTATGATCAAAGAACTATGTGAAATGCAGTTTGATTACTGTCATTTAACATTTTATTTGCTTGTTGACTTTGATTGATTTTTCACTTAAATACTTATGAAATTAAGGTATCGAACATAATTTCTAATTAGATACGTTTAATTCAATTTCGTAATTATAAGCAAGTTACAAAATACCACAAAGCGGACACGTTTTACTAAGCCAATAAATCCTGGACTTATGACAATTAGTTGACGTAGTTTGTTAGACGCTTCTAAAAGATGTTTATTATACTTAGAGGTTAGAAAAATTATGGGTCAAAAATGAAGAATACTGACCAGTTACGGCCAGGGGTGGATCTAGACTTTAGCAAACGTTGCAAAAGCAACAGTCAGAATTGTCGAAAAATATCAGTCGCCAAATAATTGCATAAAACAAATTATTTTACAAATTTTGTATTCATGTGCAACGCAAGTAAATTCAATAAATTGTTAAATTGAAGCTTTTCAGTGATTAACATGAAGTATTTGCTCATAAATCAAGTAAACGCGATCACATCGTTCAAAATCACCCTGATTTGGATAATGCTGAACTCGCCACAGTATGTTGCTTAATTTAGCGAAGTTTGGCTACTGTCAGGCTTGCTTAACCAATCACATTGCTAATTGTGGCAACAGTCGAACGATGCTTAGCCAATCATATCACAAATCACGGCAACAGTGGCAAAAGTTCGATACCATTGCGTAATTTGCTTTATATAACTTAATTTTTGGTGTATGTACAACTTATTTAAGCTTTTTTGGCAACATTCACAATGTCATTTCACGAAACGTTAAAACGACATTTGTTAAATAAACCGTTTTCCTTTAAGGCAAAGGCCACAATGAATGTGATTTTATCACTTCAGCAAGAGTGCAATAGAATCATTGCAGCTAAAATGAGTAAGGCTAGAGTCGGCGACACACATGTTCATATATGCCAATTTTCCAAACTGCAGTTCCCTAGAAATAAGGAATTACGCTGCATAAATCACACACAGTGAAGTAAATTGATAAATAATACGTACCAAGCTGGATTTCACATGAAATTCGACAAATTTTGTAACTGACTCGACTTTACGATGCTCTTTTTGCCACTGTGCAAATGAATTGTTATTGTGTCATATTTTCCAATAAATTTGTACTGTAGATTTTCTGCAGACTCAAAGGCTCTATGATTTCTTATTGCACATGCCTTAAATGTTTCATTTATATTTATTTCAATTGAGTGGTTTGTTTCATAACATGTAGTTGAATTCATTTGTCATTTCCAACATCTGCGGCAGTGATATGGACAAACCCAAGAGCATTTGAACTTTAAATTTAAATGTCAAATGATTCATTCCTGGATTTGATTATTGTCTATATGGCTTCTACTGTATGGATTGATTATTTATATAAATGCGGATATTCTAATGTAAGTAATGATTGTGGTTGTATCATAATGCATAGTTTTAAAGGACATGATTTTGAGGCAGATGCATATCATGTGTCTTCCCTGTGAAATTGAAGTAAATGTATTGCTGTCATAACTTATAAACTCTTTAAAAGATAATGTTTTATTTTTATGTCATTTGCTAATTTGCACTTATTCCATTGTATGTCAAAATTTAGGACTTCCGGTTATGGCAATTTCTTTATTATTCGTGGTCCATTGCAATGTATGGTGAAGAAACCTTAGTCTCCTGTCTTTGATGCATTACAAGCATTGAATTGTTTATGGAGATGCCTTATTATTCTTCCCACTCCTTTCACTGAACATTAGCATAAGCAGGGTGCATTTTTTTTTGTAAGGAAAATACCTTTGCCATGTATTTATCTAATGCTCCACTTCATTGTATGTTGAAAAAGATCCAATTGAAGCTATTTTTGACGAGCTTTGTAGAAAGGCTTACGTGATAAGCACTGCAAACTTTCCATATTTGTTTCCAAATTTGCAGAAAATTGCTATTTCGACCATATTAAATTTCAAAATGTCCCGGGGGAGGTTAACCCTAGAACTCTAAACGGGGAGTCGTTTCGCTACAGTCATGCAATTTTCTGGTTCACCCTGAATTATGCATAATGCAACATGAAACATATCTAGTATAAGTTCTTTAAAGTCAAAACTAAACATCACAAATTCCACAGGCATTAGGGCGAAGAGGAAATTGGACTTTCGCCAACGCAATTACTGTTGCTAAAGTTACAGATTTTTTGTTAAAGATTTTGTGGAGATTTGAAGAGGGCGAGAAATGCTTTTCTATATGAAAAACGAAATTTTTTACAACGTTTTGTGTTTAAATTCTTACAGTAAGGTGGATTCAAGCCAAAGGATGTTTCTTTTTCTTGAGACTTTTTTCTAAAATTTAGATTGGAGTTATATTTCCTGTTAGTTTATTGGTGACTTCTTTGCAGGCATCCAACGTCTCAACTTAGGATAAAAGTAGCGTAGCCCAAAATGTTAGGGTTTGTGATTTAGCCATCTGCCTTCCTTAGTATATATTGACTTACACCTACAATTAGAAATATCACCGATAACTAAACGAAATCATTTAATGTTCAACGTCAATGTCTACAGCCTACGATCTATCTTACAACGGTTGAATTACTTTTATTTATACGACATATTAAGTAAGGATATATTTTTGTTCTTTAGAAAATATGGGTACATTATAAATAACGGAAAACTATTTGGAACTATAAAAAATATTGTCATCCCTGCACATAAATGCCTTTTAAAATAATCATTTAGTTTTTCACACTTGACTTAATTATTTACAAATGACAGAAAGGATACGAGAGCATATCCTACGTAAATTCCTTATAAAATAAAAAATTGAGCAAAAATGTCACTGTCAAAAGGACACCCATAATATGATGTATAAAGTATGCGAAAAGTAGTTTATGTGCTGTCGTTGATTTTTAATAATTCTTTATTAAATACGTATCAACTTAAAGTATAGAACACAAGTTCTAGTAACATAAGTTTGTTCAATTTCATTTTTATCAGTAATTTGCAAAATATCACAAAGAAAACACGTTTTATTGAGAAATTAATCATGGACTTGTCACAATAAGTCAATCTTTTGACGTAAGACGCTTATAAAAAGGTGTTAAGGTTAGAGGTTAGAAAAATTGTGTATGGAATTGGGAGATCAAGAGTTCTAACTAGTTACATGTAAAAAATCGTTAAACACTCATGTTGCTAGGACTTAAAAAAAGCATCATATTCCACAGGCATTAAGGCGTAAGGAAAAAGGTTGTTTATTAACTTCCGACTAAACAATAGAGCTAAATAGTCATAAGTTATAAAAAATGCTCTCATAGGACTTTGAAAACTTCTTTTAGGTGAAAACATTAAAATTTTCATTTTTAACTTTAAGTAGTTAATCATCAAATGATTTCGCAATAAATGTTGACTATCGCTCGTACTAATTTCTTTCAAAAATGCTTCAAAAAAATGTAGTCAATGATGATTCTAATTGGCATGCACGTTTGACTGATGGAAATTGTTCGACTAGTGCAGATCTTCAAAAACACAATTTTCTATCATCTTTGCAGTACTCAAAAATGTCTGATGCACTGGGCATGGAAGTGTATTTCAAAAAAAATTACCTTTTACCCACTGGAAGGTTTGTAAAATATGTTAACTGAGCAATCTACAGTGAGAAATGGCGAAGTTCTATTTACTAACGATGAATCACGTTTTTCCAGTTTTAAGGAAAGAGGAGTAAGAAATGCACTAGAAATGCTATCTGATGTATGGTGAAATCACTCTTTGTAATAAAATATATATATATATACATCATATAAACACATTCTCTTTATATGGATACATATACCTCTCTAATTTACATAACATTCCTTAATACGATTACCACTTTCTCTCTCTACTTCATGCATCACTGTATAATACAATATCTACCATCTAATTTACGTATCCTTCTTTAAAAAACATTCTCCTTGCCTATCCTCATCTTAGGATCAAAAAAGAAAAGGGGTGATAGCTGCCTCAGATGGAAACCACGCCTTTGCTCTTTCATACCACGGGCAACAACTAGGCATTCCAGTCACGATTGTCATGCCAGAGAATGCACCAATTAACAAAATTGCATCGTGTGAAAAATACGGCGCCACTGTACACGAGCAAGGGACGGATCTCCTTGATGTAAGTTGAAAAATTAGTCATTGCTTCTAAACGTTAGCCTAAAACTTGAGGAAAAGATTCTTTGACGTTTTGATGTTGCATGAGAAGATTTTGACATAAAAAATTTCTTGCTCCTCTGCCTTTGAGCTTAAGTGCTTATATGAATAAAACGTCAGACATGAAAAATTAGATGAACATATAAAAATAAAAAAATATACGAATATTTACAGAATTACTCTAGAATACACTAGTGCATGTAAAAATATCTTAAGATGTCCTTGTGTGTTTGCAAATATAGTAATAAAGGAAGTAAGAAGACAACTGTTAACTGCTATTTTATCACTTTCTAATTTACTATAATTTGTTTGGAGCATGTTAGCTATTTTTACTGTGAGCAAACACTGTTGAAATATAATTTTTAATAGTATCTCTTCTATGTTTTCACTCGTGAAACTCTAGTTAAACATTTTATGTAATTACAACCCTTTAAACGAGGGACGTATAGCAAAATGTTTTTGTGTAGTTTTGACCTTCATGTTGTATTTACATAAACCGAAACGCAACTATTTGAATATTCGCAAATTCAATACATATTCTCTTAATAGTCAGAAAACTTTGCCCTGAAAAAAGCTGCGACTAATGAATTGCAATACATCAACAGGTATATGTGATGCATAACTACAGCAAACATTTTTTACAAGGAGATTCTCACTATGGCATAAAATAGCAAAATTTCCATCTTAGAAACGTGATCAAAAAATATTTAACAAGTAAGACGACGAATAAATATTTGTTGTGAATTTTTATCATAAAAGTTGTGTAGTAGAAGATCTGCAAGGTCTCAGAAGGATCAATTCAGATAATGCTCACTGTACTTAGGGTGTTTGATTACTTTCAGAAATTGATATTTTCTGACTACTCATTGATTTAAATTTATTTATAAGATGCGACGATCCCAGCATCATTGCAGGAGCCGGAACAATGGGTCTGGAGATTATACAACAAGTAAAAGATGTTGATGCTGTCATTATTCCTGTAGGTGGTGGCGGGCTGATTGCAGGTGTTGCCGTGGCAGTGAAGGAGCTAAGTCCAAAAACCCTTGTCATAGTGAGTAAATGATATAGTGCTAAAGTAGAGAATATTTGATGGGTATTCTTGAATTTTTATCCAACTTCAAAGTTCAAAGAGTGTAAAAATTAACAAGGCGTTATTAATTTATAGGGTGTCGAATCGGAGCGCTGTGCAAGTTTTACTGCTGCAATGAACGGTGAACCAGTAAAAATAGGTGTGAATCAGGCGATAACTTTGGCTCCTGGTAAATTATTGACCTTTTATAAATATCATTGGTTGAGAGTTAATAATCAGCAAAGCACTTATATCATCGGCCGGGTAAATTGTTGATTTGACTGTTCTATTATTGGCTAACGGCAAATAATTGACGTGATTGTAATATCATTGGCTGACGATGTATTGATGATATTGGCTTTTGGTAAATCATTGATTGAAAAGAAACATAATTGGGCGATCAGCATGGCTAAATGTAAGATTATTGGTAAAAGGTTTTTTATTTAAATTGAAGGAGGACGCAGTTTGTAATTTATAGGGCATTGAATCAGAGCAATGTCCAAGTTTTACTGCAGCAAAAAATAAGGGTGAACTAGAAAAGGTAGATGTAAATAAGGAGATAACATTGGCTTATGGTAAATTATTGACTTTCTTTTCTAATGTCATTACAGATAACAATAAATTATTAACGTAACTATAATGTAGTTGGTGAACAGTAAATCAATGACTTATCATTGGGTGATAGCTTTATAATGATGTAACTGCGTTTTAATTGGCTACTAGAAAATCCTAAAACAACTGTAAGATTGTATTGGCTTTTTATAAATCATTGAATAAAAAGAAACATCGTTTGGGGGTAGGAATCGTTAAATCAAAGACTAACTGTTAGATAATTAGAGCGCCACTGAAGCATAACCGGCTAACTGCTTAATTTTAACGTTATATCATCTTTAAATCATAAGAAATAGTTAAATCATCCTTTCAAAATCTTATTCTTTTGCAGGTTTATGCGTTTCAAAAGATAGCATAAATGCCTTTCATACAGCAGAACCTCACATTGATAGAATGATCACAGTACAGTAAGTATTGACAAAGAAATAAAGAATAGTTTAACACATGATATTATATTTACTTTTCATTTATGCATGCAGTTTCATGAAATTCAATGCGTGCCTATCATCAAAGGGCTTAAACCTGCTCCAGTGCTTCATCTTCAGTTATTTACACCTTTTAAACATAATGTTTCTGTTTATTTTATACGCAAGGCTCTTTAGCATGACAGCAAGTTTTACAGTTTAATTTACTTATCATAGTTTTTCAGTTCTTTCAAAAATGTTTTCTATAGGTTTTTCATATGTAATATTCTCATTATAGCATACTTTAAAGCACATGTTCGTAGATGTAGGGCTTCCAGGTTAGTAGAATCCTGGCAAGGACTATTGGTGTCGAAACGTCAGTCAATATCAACAACAGCAGTCCTTCTCACAACTCAACTAACCTGGTCGATTTACATATACAAACATGTAATAATACTCCCGGCTTCAAACCATTTACTTTTTTTTTCAAAAAAGGTTTATTTTTTCTCCAGAAAATGCTTAAATTATTTAAATATTCCATGTTTTGTAAAAGTTATAATAAAATAGAGTTACTAAGGAAGAGTAAATAGTTGAACTTTGTACTAAATTACTTAATTTACTACACAGTGAAGATTACATCGCACTAGCTGTACTACGATTGCTCGAGGAAGAGAAAGTTACAATTGAAGGTGCTGGTGCAGTTGGTCTTGCTGTCTGCCTTACAGAACAAGTGCCCGAACTAAAAGAGAAAAAGTAGGTGTAATTTTTTTAAGATTTATAAAAAAGTCTATTGTTGAGTATTTTCCTCTATCGATTTCCGTTTTTTCAAAAGAGAAAAAGCCGTTGAATGTCAAAATAGTGTCTTTATTAGGATTAATCTAATGTTGAAACTTAAGTCCTCATATACTCCAGTCTTGTGTCTTCATCTTGAGTGGTCTGATGCTGAAATTTGAGTTTTTATATATTCTGCTTTAGTATCTTGATCAGGAGTGATCTGTGCATGGTAAAATATATATAGTAAAGGGTAATATGATACAGTTATAGCTTATGTGGATTTGAGTTTATTATGTATAAATATTTCAATAAAGTATTGGTTTGAAGAAATGATGAGTGTGTTTAGATACTGAGTATAGTGTTAAAACTTGAACGTTATGAATAATGTAAGTTGTTTTAATGTGAAATGCTTTTCTGCTTTTAAGTGAGATCAAAATCAAATTGGTGTGTCACCAATGAAGAGAATTAGAGATAGGATCTTTGAATGAAAAGTAATTTTTTATTTTGGACGAAGTGAAAATTTGTTGGTAATGTTTGAAAATTAGACCGATAGCGTAGACGACGGTGCACCAAACACAAGGGTTTGTTCTAATATTACACTAAAAGTAATAATCTGAAGCTATAATAAATTATAAAATATATGAATGATGGTACTATTTTACTTAAGATAAATCCATCCCAATGCTTACTTACATTTGTGCCACATAAAATATATCTCATTTTCTGCACAATTCAAGAGCTTTCCCTGAGCCTCTTGCTTGAAAACAGTAACTGATAATGATCTCAAGCTCAACGTTATGAATAATCAATTACTTTATATAATATAAATAAAGCAAAACCAAACTTAATGGAGCAATAATGTTTGTAAGTCTGCGTTGTGTGTGTCGTGAATGATGTTTGATAAATGTAGTTTGAAGTCGAGTTTGTATGGGTTATTACCAGTTGACGGTCGTGGTTGTTGTATCACAAGTTTTGGTGTTTACTTTGCAATTAGTATTTGATGTTTACTTCGCAATTTTTTCTCAGGTATCTTTTGACATTTCTGTTTATGAAGGGGACATGTAGTGGGAAAGAATCGCCTAATAGAAGAGATTTGATGCTCATCATCTTGTTTTAAAATCATTGACACTGCAGAAACTACATTTTCATTTAAAATTAAAGCACCACTTCAAATTGTTAAAACTAACCCAATATGTATATATATTCATCATTAATTCAAACCAATATTATATTGCATTATTCAATATCTACTATTTGGCAATAATGTCACTTCTGCCAAAATAAAGCGCTTTGATTGACTTAGAAGCATTTTTGGCGGTCCATTGTTTTCTGTAATGTATCACGGTCCAAAAAATGTATTTTCTAGAGTCAAATGTAAACAAACTTCGGTCAGATATTTCTCCGTAAAAACCTCGAGCCCTTTTAATAAGGGCTTAATAATCTACTTACATTTGCCCTAACTATCACTGTATAATATTACTATATATATCATGTATTGTATACAATATATCCTTGACTTAAAGATGGCATCACAAGAAGTCGAAGCATGTTTTTTAACTTGTCGTATCGTTATACATGCATTATAAATAATTCTTTTACAAAGTTGTGCTAAAACTTAATTCCTTATTTACTCTAATGTAGTTTCTTCATTAGAAGTGATCTCCTGTTAAAACTTTTATCTTTTTATAATCTAGTCTAATATTTGCTTCCAGACTAGTTTGATATTAAAATTTGAGTGTTTATGTTACTGCAGTCTAGACTATTTGTTGGGAGTAATCTGATGTTGAAATTTGTGATATTATATACTCCACTCTAGAATGTGTAATGTTTCGATCACGATAGATATGTTTTTGAGTTATTGTGTATTTGATTGATGCCCCTTAATTTACAAGAAACTTTTTTGAAAAAAATGAATATAACGCTCTAATGTCGTGTTTAGGGTTGTCATTGCTCTTTGTGGTAGGAACATTGATTCAATTGTGTTGGGAAGGTGTTTGGATCGTGGCCTGGCCGCTGATGGTCGTTTGGTGCGTTTCGTGGTCACAGTAAGTGACAGACCTGGAGCGATAGCTGATGTCACTCAACTGGTGGCCAGTGTTGGAGCAGACGTTAAAGATATTTTCTACGAAAGAGCTTGGTGGCTTTCAAGTGCATTCAGCGTCCAGGTAATGCACTGCATGATCAGCATAGGGATATTTTATATATAAAATGTGTAACTATATTACATCAATTTGATCTTCGTGTATAAGTACTTACTTTATAGTGAGGATGGTACATAAGAAATCAATGTACATGATCTCCCAATTTGTACAAAATTTCAGCTTATAATTTCGATACCTCCTTCCTGTATCATATGTAGTTCAAGATTGTGGCCAGGGTACGAGACCGTAATCATGGAAAAAAACTCAAAGAAGCTTTGATTTCAAATTACAGCAAGGAAGAAGTGAATTGGCCTTCTTTCGATAACGGTTTGCAATGATAATGTTAAAAACATTTTACTTAATTTACAAACAGTCAAAGATTGGCACCTATAAATTATATCAATGCCATGACTAGTTATCATATAACAGTAAGCACTATTGTAAACATAAAAAGATTTTTTCAGCATGCGATCTTCAGGAAGGGGACTTCACGCTTTCCACCAATCACACCTTACATAATATCTTAATCATATGAGATGTTTTGGTATTTACATTAATTTTCTGTAATTTAAGTTTAATTGCATTATCGTAGGTTCTGGTGAAGGGGAATATTTGCGTTATCAATCAGATAAGAGGGATAATGATGTTGACATCGCTGCCAAGCCTTCTGAGAAAGTGCCAAGTAAGTTGTAGAATTTTATAAAAAGACAGTACTATGAAAATCTTAAAATGCTGTGTTAAACGCAGAATACGAGCAACAATATATAACCTAATATGTTATTTATAAATTTACTATGTCAATTAAATTCTAAAATTTCAAGTTAATGAAACTTTTTAAATGTCATTTGTTAACAAACTTGTTTTAATTGGATATTTTATATCTAATTGTACATTTCAAATAACTGTATTCTTGTAGATTCTGAAAAAAAAGGAATGTTTGCTATATCATTTAGATACGAATAATGATGTTGACTTCACTGCCGAGCTTTCCAGAAAAAGGCCAAGTAAGTAATAGAATTTTGTTAAGACTCTACTTTGAGAATCTTAAAATTATTTTAAACTTAGAATACGAACAACAATTTATAGTCTAATATGATGTTTATAACTATATTTGCAACAAGATTCTAAAATGTCTAGTTAATGAATCATTTAACATTTCATTTGTAAGTGAAAATGTTTTAACTGTGTATTTTATCATGACACAAGACGGCGTTTTTACAGTTGCTAAAATTATGCAAAATACCACATAATATTTTCTCTTATTATCACTGCAATGTTGTTGCAAATGCAATCTTGATTGTGATTGGCTAAGGCCTGCAAATAATTCACCATGTCTTGCCACCTGTTATAACTGTTCAAATGAAAAGTGTAGACAAAAAAGCATAAGGCGGATTTTTCTCGAGATTTACAAGCGTTTTAAATACAGTTGTTGCTCAATTCATTAAGAATAAGGACGTAAAAAACGCACCAAAAGAGCTACACTGTCGGTCGAGAGAGATTTTATTAGGTATAAAAAAGAAAAAGAGGAAGTTGAACTGCAAAAAAATCATTGTTACAGCACGTAAACTTTATGGCTTCCATACGAAATAGTTTGAACGATTCTGCATTTATAATTGTATAATAAAACAATTATTAATTTCAGTTTTTGCCTGATATCAAGAATTGTAACCTTGACCATAATTGAATAATTGTTGGTCAACTACCTGCAATTCATTCTCGATATTTGTAGGTATGATGTCATATCAAACAATTATTCTACGAGGTTGAGTATCAGCTTCGTATCATAACATTGACCGAGGTCTGAATGATTCTTGATACCATGCGATGGCCGAATTCAACAATTGTTTTATCAATCACCTCAACTAAATGAAATATTACTAAAAGTAGAGAATGTATAATATTTTTAAGCCCACGCCAATTTGTCCTAGCCAAACAGTTTTTTCAAGTTCTTCTCGATTAAATATGCTGTAAAATTGTTCAAAACCACCTTCGTCGTATTTTTAGTGTTTTCTGCATCCTTTTTGCTCAAAAAGCATTTGCTTATCGAATTTTAGAACAGTAGAAAATACTGCCATCATTTGAGTTTTCAAAACAAGCTTTTGATGGCGTCAATAATTGTAGAAACTTCTACTTCTAAATATGTTGTCATACCTACATATATCGAGAATTATCAGCAGTTAATTGACTAACATAGTCGCCTTGTTTAAATAGTGAATGAGGGTAAAGATTGGGTTTCGGAGAAAAATTTTAAAATAGTTTAAGCACAGAAAGGTAAAAGTTAAACAGTAATTGCAAAAACGTAAAGGTTAATTATGGCGCATGTTGCTTAAGCTTACAAATCCCAGGAAAATTAGCCAAACCTTCATGAACGCTAGGCATCCAAATTGCGGATTATTTCATGCTATTTTATGCATAACTTTATTGATCGCATTTATGCATAAGTTATAAGAATTATAAAATGACGTTTAAAATCGAAACATTTAAAATAAACTGCGATTTGAATGCTAAGTGCTCGCATATTTATCAGCCAGATTTCCCAAAACTCGGACCATAATTTAACTCTAGGTTTTCTAATTGCATCTTAACTGCGATGTTTTTTTGCTGTAGGCTGCCAACTGTTTCAAACTGCCTCTCGGAAAACAATTTTACATTAAAATGTTATTATTTCTTAATTAAACAATTATTACTTCATTATTTGCAGTAATTCAGTGTCAGATGAACGATTTGTAGTGTGACTTCCTATTTTCATTGAAGACTAGTTTGATGGTTATTACTACAGAATAATTTGACAAGATTGGGAAATTTTTGTTCAGTAATTTTAATATTGTCATTTGTGTGATATGTTGGTAGCTGAACAATACAGTACAGCTAAATCTTTTCTTAAAAGACTTATATTAGAACACGTTTTCAGCTGTTACTAAAAAAAACAAAAAACACACACACAATGTAGAAACGTTAACAAAATCAAAAAGAACAGCATAACGTTTATTGTTTCAATTTACATATGACTCTCATCAAAAATTATTGGAAAGAAACACAGAAGCAATACATGTAACTCATTATATCACAAAAAAATTTGTGTCTAGACACACCATTAATTTTAAAGTTTACGCTATCTTACAATATTAACAGATTTGATTGCATATCTGAGAATATTTAGCATATTTAATCGTTGATGGTGCGTTTTTTGCTAAAATGTATAGTATCGAATTTATGTGTGCTCAGTTAAGGAATTTTGAGCTAATATTATGTATTTTATTTTATTTGTTTACTAAAGTATAATAATTTTATGTCCGTTTTAAGAATTGCAGTCGCAAGAGTGGAAATACATAGGTGAATCAGCAAAACATAAAAAAATGTTTTCTGAAATGATCAAACATTGGCCGAAAGCGAGAGAAGGTAAAAAAAGTGGGAGATGTGCGTGTGATTTTCTTAAACGAGTTTTGCATTGGCAGAGGAAGCGATGGAAGCCGTGTTTTTCTTGGACTGAGAAAGGATGGTTACGGCAAGGCAGTGAAACGAATATTTCGAGATAACTGTATTGATCTAGCTCATCAAGAAAAGAAAATTTTGAATGAATTCAACGCAAAGAAGTCAAAATATGTTGTGAATTATTCCTACTTAGAAGAGGATGTTGGAACGGAATATGTCTATTTAATATTAGACTTATGCGAAGAATCATTGGAGAGTTTTGTGAAGTTTTCTACTTTGCCTGATCTTCGGCAAAATGCATCACTTACAGTACTGACTATAGACAACGGCTTACATTAGAAAGTTGGTATACCAACTTGGAACAAACCCCCCCCTGAACAGATCACAGCAATTACCGGCACCTTACAAACGACTTATTCACAATACAAACAAACGATCAACTAAAAAACACTACACTTCAAACTAATTCACAATGACAATACACAATTGACACCCAAACATTACAACTAAAGAACGTTGCTTGATGATTTTCCGAGTTTGAAGTAAACCATATTGCCGTTTATTCATGAATAAGAAAACAAAACGGAAAATTTGTTTCTTCACCATTCAATTCTTTATATTTGCCCAATACTGTATTCATGTTTACTTTACATGTGTGAGTTACTTCATTCAAGCTAATGTTATATGTACGAAACTAACACTTCAATAAAAGAAATCAAAAAAATATAGTTAGAAATTTTTCTAATGGTTTTAGCTCACTGGATTGTATTGGGTAGTCTTCTAGAAATACCGCTTTACATCTTGATGAAATGCTGTTAAACATAAAAGTTGTTTAAATCCCTTTTCAGAGGCTAAAGGAATTTTGGATATCTTTAATGAACGCATGAAATATGATCGTTGTTTATTAAAAACATTACCGAGAGAAATATATCTTGATTTAGATGATTTCCCAGAAAAACTGGTATTTGTTGGCATTAATGTATGTATCTCTTTTTAGTGGAAACAGTTCATTTTAGGGGCTCATTTTAAGGGTTTTGTCAATTTTGAAGTTAAGTGCATAGAGAAATTGCTTTTGAAAAGTTGTTTTTGTTGTGAAGTAATGCTTCGTGAATACCAGCTACCGGGCTTATGTGACGGCACTGTGTTTTTAAAGCATGCGATACAAGAAGTTAAATTTGCAATAGGATTAGGTCTGCAGTGATGATTAGCATTTAAAAGCCTTATGGGAGTTAATTTGAAAGAAAAAAATGGAATTCCCGCTGGCGGAAAATTGTGATTTTTATGAACTTTATTTGTAAAGAAATACTTCTTCATTTCACCACTGAAAGATTCGTACAACATATCTTTTGAAAGGTAAAGAAATAGACTTAACAAAGGTGCAAAAACCAAACAACTTTTTCAAATATATTCAGTGTTATTGAACCCCAAATTTTAATTGAAATTTTTTGATACACCATGTACATAATGATAAATTCTACAAAATATAAGTTCGCATCAATAAATTAATTATAAATTTAGCTGATTAATTTATCATTTATCAGCCTCGTGGTTACTATGTTTTAAGACAACCTTCCTTAGAGTTTGAAGGACCAGGGTTTAAATGAGTGTCTCCAATATAAGGACCTTGACATTTCAACTGTCAGGGAAACTAAATTCTAAAAACTATCCCCCAAAAATTTAAAAATTCAGGCTTCAGTTCTCGCATTGAAGATGAAGATCTTATCGTAATTACTAGCATGAAATATTGAAAACTTATGTTGTCATACACGAAAATTCGCGCAAAACACATTTTTTAATGATCTCAAATTTTGTAGTTATTGCTTACTGAATTTGGGGTCGAGTTTAGAATTAAACAAGCAAGGATTTCACACGTTTCTCTAAACTTATAGCAACAATTAGAACAACATTTGGCTTTCGATGATTAACAATCGTAAATATAGCCAATAAGGGGCTGTTTACATGATCCCGGCTAAAGGAGATTCAGTGAGGCGTAAAATCATTTCAACACATTGAAAAGAGTCGAAACTTCAAGCGTAAAAATTACAACTAATTGTTAATCGCGCAAGTAATGCCTATTGTAATTCTCAAATAAGGCCAAATTTGTTGTTCGATTTTGAATGTTATGCGTATAGTAATTAAATCAAAATAATATAAAAGTGCTGAAGAACATTCATCTGATGATGGGTATTAAATCTTTTCCATTTGCCAAAATCATTTAACGCTTTGCTGAATCCCGGCTACCCGGGATCATGTAAACAGCCCCTAAATTTTATCGTATTGTAACTGAACACCTGTAAATATATATATATATATAAGTTTGAAAATTTGTAATCATGGCATTGAATAGATAAAAGATAAAAGTTTCACCGGATTTTTAATTGATTTTTATTGAGCTTTCGACTCGTTGCTTCGAGCCTTCATCAGAATGAGGATATTTATTGACACGTGCTTTTTGCTTGGAGACGTTTAGAGCGTCTAATTGGATAAGTGGGTGGATTAATGTGATTGGATGGGGTGAAATGCGTTGCCATGGGTTTTGGTGTATTTTTAATCGGTAGGATTCGTTGTTGAAAAATATCCTCATTAAATATCCTCATTATATATCCTCATTCTGATGAAGGCTCGAAGCAACGAGTCGAAAGCTCAATAAAAATCAATTAAATATCCGGTGAACTTTTATCTTTTATGTATATATATATATATATATACAAAGTGTATAACAATGTGCCCTCCCGGCTATCACCATAGTAAAATGGCGACTCCTGCACTTGGGACACAGGACGTACGGTTACACATTGTATGGATTTTATTGTAGAGTCACCAGAGCGCTCAAACCTATATAGGTGAACAATGCATAAAGCGAATGCGGTGAACGTCTCTTTATGAGACTCTCTACGCAATCCGAGAGCGCTCAAACTGCGCAAGCGCAGCGAGCGTAATATAAGTTATAAGTATATATAAGTATATATAAGTATATATAAGTATAAGTATAAGTTATAAGTTATAAGTTATAAGTATATATATATAAGTTTGAAAATTTGTAATCCAGGCATTGAATACATAAAATCCGGAGAAACTGTTTTCTTTATATATATATATATATATATATATATATGCAAACTATGTATAAAAAATGTATATACAATGTGCCCTCCCGGCTATCACCACAGTGCAATGGTGACTCCTAGACTTGGGACACAGGACGTACGATTACACATTGTATGGATTGTATTGTAGAGTCACCAGAGTGCACAAACTATCTTTAGATATGTACAATTAACTGGCCACTTGTAAATATGTCATTCTTTCTGATGATGGTTTTTAAAAAACCGAAATATTGCAGCGTAATTGTTCGTTTTATAACTTAGTGGTTACATTATGAGTTACACTAGGTTACACTATTTGAGGTTGCAAGATGCCCTTTTACGGATCATGCTTATTTTTAACTTTTTGGTTCCAATTAGTTTTATATGTCTCTTTCGACCATTTTATCATATATATAGTTGTCCAAACTCTTAGGCTCCACATTGAAGTCATTTATGTCTTACGAGTTAGAGCAGCTAGGACCAACATATTTAGTGTTTGTATTCGATAGAAAAGGCCCAGGTTTTAGCCACACTAACTTTTTCGTCCTCTCTTAGCTTATGAACAGACCTTTTGTGTTCACTATTCAATAAAAACACAATTCAATTAGCAAAACTTTCTTTTTGTGGCAACTTATTAAAGGGCCATAATCACGTTTGCTGCTGTGGAGATTTCAAATTGACGTACGTTTCCAAGGAGGAAACAAATGTTTCTGCAAGGTGTACTTTGCAAGATTTCTAGATGTTTATTGTGGAAATATTAAAACCGAGGAGACCTTTGGAAGTAATCGAAAGATCAGGGCAAAAACATCTTTATATTTCTTTTATAAAATAACAATAATGTATTAAAGAGAAATTCAAAGCAAAGGTTTTAATATTTCCTCTAACATGTATTCATGATTGACTTGAAAATACTCTTTGATTGATTTCATTGATGAGGCTCAGCTATCAACCAATCAACAAAAGGGGTTTTATTGTTTTTATTTTATATAATGCAAATTAAAGTTGTCAGTTGTCATTCGGGGAAGAAAAGAATACGAACTTATTTCTTCCACTATTATATTAAAGTGAAATAAATAAGGAATGTTTCGAGGAGTACACACTGAAAACTAAGATGGAAACTATTTTGACGTAATTTATTATTATAGAATATAAGATTGGTAGTTGAATTTTCAGGCTTGCATTAGCTAGTTCTTGTGGAAACGACCGCATGCAGTGCTCCTGTCATTACGAATAATTTATGTATGTAAAAGTTTTATCGTAACTTGACATTCTTCACTTGCAGACTATTTAAGTTTTATAAGATATGCTAATTCTGTATGTCAAGGAAATGCTAAATACAAATGGGAGGACATAACTTCCGTGAGTTTAGATCCAATATGTTATCAAATGTAAAAACAGCTGTCCATTTACCAAAATCCACTGTTTTAATCAAAAAATTTTCTTGGTGGCAACAGTTGCTAGTAGCATAACTAATTATTAGCCAACGAATAAGATTCGTTCAATTTCATCAACATTCCTTCTATCTTAGCAACCTGCATTGTTTGACTGCGACACTACGTCTGCTATGATAAGGAGCTTCACAAATTCTTAAAGCAATAGCATTGAAAGAGATAGCACCATTTTTCTCAAGACGTCTTACGGTATATTGACAAATTTCTGATTTGAACAAGCTCTTCACTCCTCTCGACACTGGTACGTCTAATTTACACGAATTTTGCTTTTATAAGTAAAGACGTTTGTTCAAAGAACAAACTTTTTTAATTGTTGGTTTCTGATGTCTGATAAAATGACTAACAAAGCGTTCAAAAATATACTGGCGAAATTGCCAAAGTGATTCTTGTTGTTCTTATGATACTAAGTTTGTCTATTCTCACAGGATAAGATCCGTACCGTTTTAAATGTCACTATTTTCAGACATGGGATTTCTAGAGAAAAACTGCTGTAATGTGAGTCATAACAGGTCCCTGTTAGTGTTATATATTTTCTATTAACCGAAACTTGTAAACTTGTACTTAACCCTCCAAGGGCCATATGTAGGGAAATGCATCATAATATAAATACTTCACGCCGTCTGCGTTAAAGAACTCGAGATTGATGAACTTTTAGGCGGACACACATAATGTGTGTAGCATCGTGTTGTGAATCTCTTGGGGCCAGATGTTTTCCCAATTAAGTTTCGTTTGGTAATTATTACTCGCGCAAG